TTCATGTATTAGAAAAAGTATTACTTTAATGTTTATGAGTTTCTTGACGAATAAATTCACGCTTTTTGTTTCTGTTGGTTTCCGTTCGCCATGTTGCAGCTCATCCTGGTGAGCACCAGCATGGCGTCTCCATACAAATCTCTATAAGTTTGGGTAAAACATTTCTTCGGATATCTCGAATGCGAAATATTCCTCTGACCTGAATCTTGGCGAGGGTCTTTGTATATGTACTTCCTTTCATTTCCCAGATTAAGGACTTTATCTATTGAAACATTTTCATTTTTATTTTGATCTATTTTGAATGGCGTGACACTGAAAACTAGCAATATATGTTTTTCAGTAAACGTGCGCAACTGTATGTGTATAGTGGCCACATTACACTTACTCAATGTTTCATGTAAAATAACACAACAGATCTTGATACCCATTTTCGCTGATTTTGTTTCCCCTCCAGGGGGCATAATTTCTTTTAACACATCAGGGTTTTCAAAAAAGGGGCAAAAAGCGTTTATATAAATTAAAATTCATTTAATGAAGCACAGTATCAAAGAAATTAAAGAGAAGAATCAGACTAGAGTAACAGTAATCCAGAGGGAAGGGGGGCGGGGGGGTACCCACAGAAGAGGCTTTCCCCAGGGACCAACCCCTTACCCTTTGTATGTACCATTTTAGACAGAAAAGGTACCCCTTTTGTTTACCCTCTAGTGACAAATGGTACCCCTTTCAAATACCTAATTTTGAACGCTGCATCCTTTTTTAACTGCTGTAAATACACTATCTTTACAATATGAAAAAATCGCTAATACAGTTTTTCTTGTCTCTCACATCCATAAAATGCATCTGTGACTGATCTCATTTGGTCCCTTTCATATACTTCAACTATGAAAACCCCTTCCCTTTCATGTACCTGAAGCCTGAAAAAGGTACCCCTTTCGGGGGGAGCCTCTCTGTTTAGGCCATTATAGTACCCCCTCCTCCTGCACCGAGAACAGTGCTTGATACAGTGATGTTGTATGGTATGAATTGCACCAAACGTTTCGTGCCCATGAAGAGGTACTTTGATTATTTTACGACAATTTTCATTTTTCTTCAAAAGAAAGGGAGGAGATTGGGGTCTCATTCTTAGGGGAGGGGGGGGGGGTTAATTGAGGATCTGCAGTGAGTGAGAATCTTGCATTCAATGCAATCCAATGGTTTTGATTCGGGAAAGGGTGGTCAGGGGTATTTCGTAGAAAGACAGATGGCCACTGTACAACTTTGAAGTTTACTGATTAGGGTGAGGAAAATGAGTGAATTAGGTTCCATTAGGGTCATTATACTGGTCTATACTGGGCAAACTGACCTGAAATAAGTTGTTTCACAAAATAATAAACTGATATTATTTCATTTTCATTTATCAGTGAAACACTTCTATATCGTGAATGCTTGCAGTATAGTAGACCTACTAATATTAAAACCAGAACCAGATTGTTAAAGGAGTCTTACTAATTATGTGATGACATGGTCAAAAACATTTTTCAAAGCAGTCATCTCTATCAAAGGAAATAGGAGAAGTCTGCACGCAAGCTACCTGACTACTTCGATGTATGTTATCTATCATGGAAAAGTAGTTCATTGCTTTGTGGGCTAGACTCAGTATGGATTCGCTTGAGTTTCAAATATGGCTGTACATGTGCTTTGGGAGTTTTTGTCCCGATTGGCTTCTTTCAACTACTGTTGGAGCACATTTTGTTTCCTACGGATAATTGTTTAGTAAAACGCAAAAAGGTAGAAAATGTTATGAAGTTATTACCTCCGTATTATTTCAAGCACCTCATGAGCATATAATTCAAGTAAAATAGCGACGTTATCGGTTAAGTTTGTTTCGACGGTTCTCTATCATCGATCATCGGCCATATTGGATTTTTATGGAGGTTACCGCAGACTACTCGTTCCCAGACTTCCGTTCCACGCTCCCGGTTCCCCGTTCCCCGTTTTAGTAGCATCCAAAAAAAACATCACAAGTTGACACAAAACTCTGTCAGCTTCAGCTGTCAAAGTAAACAAGATTCAAGATGCTGCATCAATTTTCCGCATGAACTCACCTGTCAAATTTTGACCAATCAGAGCCAGAGCATAAAAAGTGGAAGTAGAGCGCGACCAACGCGTGACCATGGTGAGCAAAGTCAAAAGAAACTGTCTTTCCTGCCTGTAACAGCTGGCTGAATTTTCGCGTCCGAGATCAGTTTGAAATCAAAATCTTAATTGTGCGGCACATAAACACAATATATTTTATATGAATTTTTTAAAAAATTAAACTTAAGTCTGCGATCATTTGAAAACTAAAAACTTGTCAGCGGATAACTTCTAAAAAATAGTTGATTTCGTCAAGCCCCGCTAAAAATCAGGGGCAGCCATCGAGAATATAGTTCAAAACCACTTAAAAATGGCATTGTTGAACGTATGTTAGTATTTAAACTGTAGATATAGGCATATTTTTATCCCCTAAAAATTTTTCACCAGTTCGGATTTCCTCGCTGAAAGTCTAGTGATCCGAAAATTATAGGGATCAAAGCTTACCTTTTCGAAAATTCCAGCCAGAAAAAAGGCTCCTGAAAATTCTAGGTGACCTTTTAAGGGGAAAAATTCGGTAAAAAAAGGCAATCATACCATTTTTTGGATGTTCGAAAATCCTAGGAGAGGTCACAAGCAAGAAATTTTACAAAAAATGTCCCGAAAATTCTAGATCTCAAATCGTCTTCCGAACAGATATTTTTCGAAAATTGACGTTGAGTGCCCTTGAAAAATGTCTAAGCAGAAGAATAAGAGTAATTTTAAGGCCAAGAGCATGGCAGAGCTGAAGGAACGATTAGTGCTTGTAGTGAAAATTCCCGCCTCAAGGCAGGTAAAATGGTTTTAACGATGGAACTAAACCTCGGAACAGATCAAACTGGTGATGTAGGCAAATTTCACAAGGGCGATCACATGCTATTGATTTCGAATCCATTTTCGCTAAAAACACCGTTTGGCCATTTTATATTGTTGTTTGACATTTTCCTTTTCAATTGTATTTTACGGCAAACAGGGACTCTTTTGATGATGGTAATGTTGATGGTATTTACTAACTGAAGTTGAGGCTGTTCACATATTTGTAGCAAAAAAGTGCAGGCCTTGTGAACATGTACTGGGTTTGTATTTAATAGTGTAGAGACAGAAGGAGGCAGTGTACTAGAGGATATGCTTCAGCCAAGATAAGCATAAGGTTACTTATATTTAAGCGTATAAAAGGCGGTCGAGACGAAAATGTACGCACACTGCGGTATGATGCATTATACATGTATCTGCACCATTAGTTTAATTTTTTCAGGTTTAGATCCACCGTGCAACACCATTCTTTCAACTGAAGAGGAGATTTACACGCGCTTATTGAAACTCCATGTTCCGGCGAATATTTTTTCTGTTTTACGTACTACCACACTCAAGGCGGTTAAAGTCACTCCAGATCTTCTGCTTTGACATTTTGAACCTTAAACTATTTGATTTTCAAACAGCAAAAGGGAAGGGAAATATACAGGTTAACGAGAACTGGAAATAGCGACTCTCGTAGTTTATACAAGTACAGTGGAAACCTTAATCAGCCAGGACGAGTTTGTGGACGACGACGAGAGAAGATGAGTGAGGTCTGGGTCGAGATCGTCGTCCAAAGCGGGAAAAACAAATGTTCAAGCAAGCTCCCGTCTCGGCTTGTCGCCGAAGTAGGTAGACTACACTGAATGCCTTCGTTTAAAGAAATACGAGAGTTGCTTCTTTTTAGCGTTGAGAACAACACAATTAACGAGGAAGAATTTTTCCTACTCTCCGAAGGATTTAAATACAAAATTTGCTACTGCTGCAGCCAGCCCTTTTACAGCTCTTTTGCAGCGCTTCTTGAAGCCATTCGGCAGCGCTGCAACAGCGCTGCTTGTTTCGTAGGGAAAAATTCTAAATAACGCCTCCCTTTAATAAATGCCGCACCCTATCAGAAGAATGCAGCATTTATTGGATGATTCATTAACAATTATTCCTCGAACCCGAGTGGACACTGAGTCAATAGGGACCTTACGATCCGACAACGGCGACGTCCATGAAAACGTCGCTGAAAAACAGACTTCGCACCATTTTAAACTTTTTCGCGATTATCCCAATTCGCCCTGTTACTTAAAAGAAGGGGGTTTTGGAAAGAGCTGAAGAGAGGGGAACGCGCTCAAGTTCGGACAGAGATGGTAGAATTTATCGCCTTGCCGTTCCCGTTCCCGAGTAAACTTAAAATTAGGTCATTTCACGTCGCAGTTGTGCAGTGAAGGCAAAGAAATGTACAAAAAAGCGTGATGCACGTGCAGAGTTGTTGTTTGCTCATTAAACCTATTGTTTTTTGACGTGCTCCTTGCCGTCGTCGTCGTGGTTTCGTAAGGTCCTTAAAAGCCTATGAGGCCGAAGGCCGAATGGGCTATTGACTCTGAGGCCATGAGGGCAAGAGGAATAATTTTGACAGTTTTAGTAAATCCAACTACAGGTAGTTGGTCAAAAATATCGAGACAAAACAACTTAAGCTAGCAACATGCGATTCAGCCGCCATTGTTTTGGTTTTCAAGGTTGGCGCTTTTCTCTACTAGTGGGCTATAACACCTAGCCTAGTAGTAGTTCAACCAATCAGAGTGCAGTATTGATAATAAACTACTAGTTGGATTTTACTAATAATGGTTATTGGACTGAGTGAGTAGTATAGAGGGCTACACTAGGTCCTAACCAATCACAGCGCAGCAAATTTTGTCTCGACCAATCAGAATCGAGTATTTCGCCCATGTGACTTATTGACGTCACAAATGCCCATATTTGGGCATGGTTTGACACGTGACCCCATGGAATAAAGAACACACACACACAAGAGTTGAATCTGCATTCTTAGCATAGTTTTAATGAACCGCGTGAAGCCTGGTGACAAGCGGGACGTATATGACACCCTAATGACGTCACGCCCATTTTTACAAATCTAATAGCAAGTCGAGTTCGTCCCCAATCCTTTCGTAGCCATAAGGATAACTGGATCGGGTGGTGACATCAATAACGCGCTTGTCGAATACCAACCCATACTGCTTTACGCGCGGAACCACTTGAATGCGTTTCTCTTCCAGATCTCGTTTGAAATAATAAGGGTTGGTAATGTTCAAATTACGTCGAGACTCCTGGGGCGAATCTAATTCGGAAAGAATGTTCTCTTTCATCGTCTGAAAATTGAGAATGGCGGATCCACGGACGTTGAGGGTGAAACCACGTACCTTGCACACGACTTTGCCACCACGGGTCTGGTACCCATAATTCTTGGCACCCCCCGAAACGAACTCAGTAATGACGTCACCATCTAATTCGTCCGTCATATCCCCGAGAAAATCTCCGGTGGCAATACTGGGTTGACCGGGACGCCATTTGTACACCACACTGTCTGTGTCATAATAGAGGACTTGCTGTTGAAGGGTGTCTAGGGACTCGTAGAGTTTGAGCCGAGCATGACAGGTGGTGAACGCTGCTATGAAAATATTGGTCTTGGTGCCTTTGACAGCATTGTCGTCGACGCTAGTGTAAACAGCTTCCAGGATATCATCGGTGCAAAGGCGGAGCATACTGAGTTCGAGGGCAGCATCAGAGATGAGATGGAACAAATCAGCAGGGTGTTGGACAGTGACGGTGGTGGGTTTGTTGATCCGCTCCCCGAATTTGCCCCAGAAACTGTTGAGCATGAGCTTGGCGGTAGCCTTGCGACCAGGGTTCTTGGCAATACTGGCAATATCCAATCGGATGCCTTCCCGTTCCTGATAGCGAAGAATGTAGTTGCGTTTTTGTTCAAGGGTCTGACACCAGCTGGGCCACCCTGCCGATTCTTGTTTCAACTTGAGCCACGTGTTCACGTAATTGGCAAAAAGACCCGTTTGGCGTTGCTCAGGGGGAAAATGCCAGACTTCATGGATCTTGATCAGCGTGTATCCCTTTTCGACGGCTTTGACCAATTCGGGTGTGCACCAGGTGCCGCGTAGCGTGCGATCCGCATCGGAATGAGGGCAATAATGGGTTCGGGTCAACATGGGTTGGGCCTGCTCGGTCTGAACACAAGCACGACAGAGAGGAAACGTGAGCTTGTTCCCACTACGCACGGGTAGAACAGGGTGGAACAAACCAGTGGGAGGAAGAATGTCCACTGTGGCGACACCAAAATAAGACTCTAGGGACTGGTCGGCGGGTTGCGTGATGATCCGTGGATGCCCGATGGGATAGGGACAGTTTTTATTCACCCACGGGTACAGGGAGGTCACATCCACATAACGTATCTCTTCATTCTCCCCAGCTACAGCATGCAGAGCCACTGCACCGGTTCGACCTCCAAAAAAGGCGTCACGGGGTTCCAAGGGTGCCACCAGATCGAAGGAATTGAGAAAACGTTGGACGGTTTCATTCGTGTCCACCTGTTGGTCCCATTCACACTCCCACATTTCAATGACCGTATAGCCTGCTCGGAGCAAAACCTGGCGTTTGGAGAGCGTGGCTTGATAGAGTTCCTCCACGGTTCGATCCGGTGTGGCATAATGTTTGGCTTGTCTGTTGGGATAACAACGGGGACAGCCATGATAGAGACATCCATGAAACTCGTAGACGGTACGAGTCACAGGATCGTAGCCATCCACAAAATAATGACGGGCGCTGGTTCGGGTGGACTGTTCGCCCCCGTTACGGACGTGACGTATGCGATCGGCACAGGCCCCCTCTTTGGGAATGAGGTGTTCTTGGTAATAGAGCCATTGCAGGGCCTTGAGGGATTGATTGACTTGGGCGCCTCGCCACCCCACCAGTGGTTCCACCGCAATGGTGTCGGGGGTCAAATGATGTTTGCGCCAATACAAATTGCAGGCACTGGCAATGGTGATACACTTGGCCATGGGATTAAAGCCAGCCTGCTGTTCAAATTCCTCTTGAAAAGCTTCACACCCTGCTTTCAATAGAGCCACATCCGATTTGCAATACTCAATCATGTCTTGCTGGAAATTAAACGTGACATTGCGACGGACTTGATCGGCGTGCCAACGGGTCAGTTCGTCTTTCTTTTTGGCCATCATGCCATCGGGATCATAAAATTCCAGATCGGGGATACGACCCACGTACTGTTGATGATCGGGGGTGTTGAACAAATGGGGAAAGAAGCCCTTCTTTAACTCGGTCAAATTGAAAGTGCTGGGAAAAGAGGCCAGCGGCATAGGCAAGAAACACAACGAGTCAATGAATTTGAGGGGTCCACTCTTGAACGACAACACTTTGGCCCCCACGGTCAGTTGATCCTCGACCACGCGTTGTTGCTGGTACAATTCATGGAGAAGAAACATCCCATCGAAGCCTTTCAAATTGTGAAACACCACGAGAATCTCCCGCTCGCCCTCACAGTCCGGCACGTCCGTGAGATCATCCAAATCACGCAAAAATTGTAGGGCACAGTCCTCCCCGTCCAATACATGAATGGTGGTTTCGGCACTGGAGGAATAACATAACAAATTGGCCACAAACACCCCTTCCGCATTTTGCATGGCTTCAAAATCCGCGTAAACAAACAGGGGAGGGGGTGGCGCCACCATGCGACCTCCCCCCTCCTCTGTTGGTTCAGTCTCCTCTGGTTCGTCCACCACGGGCTGAATGTAACACTTATGGTCTTGGATAGGTACCCATTCCTGACACACAGAACATTTGGTGTACCCACACTGATGACGTTGGTTGCGGAGGACCGTGTATTGGGCTTGACACTTGCGACAGCATTTGATAGATTGACATTGGGCACTGATTTCATGATAACGTTTGCATTGATGGCCGTAAAACTTGCGGTGACACAGACTGCAATACTCGGCGGGGCGAGTGCCCCGCACATAATCCGGACAATCAAAGCGTCCACAGGCAGAACAGCGTCTCCCTTGACAAGTATGATTGGTTCGATCGTTGGTGTTGAACCCTCGTTCACAATCCAGGCAATAATACGAGCGATTGACAAACGCGGGAAAGGACGTGCAGCCATCAAAATGATCGTTGGATTTCAGTAAACGAATCTGATGAGGAGCAGTAGGGCCTTTGAAGATTAAAAAAAACGGTTTCATCCGGGTCATCACCAAGAGTTGATAGTGAGACCCCAACGCCTGTTGAAATTGACGAAGTTCGGGGATGCCACAGGGACCCTCCGCGACGCCCGCTTGCTGATGAAGATCCTGGGCTTGACGTTGCTGCACAGGACGACCACGTTTGAGATTGTCCCAATCGCGAAACCCGTCCACGCCTTCATCTTTATGGCAATGAGCACGCATGGTGACAATGGCACGGGCACAGCATAGGGTATCTCTGTTTTTGATGGTGACAATGCATTGCTTTTTCTTGTTGACTCGATCCAGGCATAAACGTCCCACATTACGTTGTTTATGTCGGCCAGACCCTGGGCCGGGCATGGAGACAAACACCACATCCACTTGGAACCCACGATCGGGGTTGAAGGCTTCATTACTGTTTAACTTGCCAGCGAGGGTGGCTAACATCTCATCTAAACGAGCCGTACGTTGCAAAAATTCCCCCACAGTAAAATTAGCGGTTTGGTAGGCGTGGGTGAACCCATGCGCTGTAATGGCAAAGTTCACGAAATGATGGGCGGGTCGCTGCTCGCGGTCGAGTTCTGTTTCAATGGCTTGATGCAAGGCTTCCGTTAAGGCCATGCCAATATTATCCCCAGGACCAGGATCCCTCAATTGACGCAATTGCGCATTGAATTGCGCCCGCTCCACCACATTGCGCCAGCGGCGTCGTCGACCCATAGGTTGCATGGTAAACTGAAAGAGAGGGCCTCGGGCGGGAACGGCTCCTCCCAATTGTTCCCACCGGTCATACGCGCGGTTTAACAGAGCCTCCTCCTCCTCATCACTGTCAGGATACCAGGGGTCCTCCGCCATGACGGAGGAAAAAAACAATTTGAATTTCCCGCGCCAGACGCTGGCTTTTATAGACCTAAAAACACGTGATCAGATGAATAGGGATTGGTGGAGAGGGCTCAGGTGAGAGTCAGGTGAGAATCAGGTGAGAGTCAAGTAAGGGGTGGGGAGGGGTTGATTAAAAGGGAGGAGGATTAAGGGGGGTCCCCCCCATGGGTACAGAATTTTTTCCAATTCTCCTCTGAGCCTGGGGTCGAGTTCCCTGATTGGCGGAGAGACCTCTAGATATAATCCTGCGTCCAGACCAGACGTCAGTTGCCATCGAGACATGCCTAATCGAAATCCAGAGAAAGTGAAAGAAGCGAAACGTCGGTGGTACCTCAAACATCGGGAGAGGATTGTGACACAGAAGCGGGAGCGGCGGGCAGCGCAGAAAAAGCTCCAACCCCCCAAACCACCTAAACCGCCTCCAACCCAGGAACAGCTTGCTAGAGCCCGAGAATTAAATCGGTTGGCCTGTAACCGATATCGAGCCACCCACGGAGACCAAGTGCGGGCACTGAACCGCCGTTACTATCGTCGTCACCGCGATCAGATTGTGCAACAGCAACGGGACCGTCGTGCCCGGGCTCGGGAGACACCCAATCCCTTTCGAAAGTTACGGGCCTTGGCAGACGTGTGTGCCGCCAAAGTATTAGAGTTGGACCATGGATACGCTAAGATCGCACCAGCCCCCCAAGCCAAGGAAAAAACGGGACCCTGAAAAAAATAAAATTCAGCAAAAAGCCTATCGGCTACGCTTGTATGCCAAACCCAATGGCATCGAGGACGTGAAGGCCCTCCATCGTCGCCGGTATCACGAACGGATGGCCCGTATGAAAGCCAATGGCGAGTACAAGGCCTTTAAGGCCAAAAAGACCCAAGAGGGCATGCGGCGTTATTACGGGATGACGGTGGAGCAGCGGGAAGTGGTCAAACGTAAAAACGCCCAGTGTCAACGCAACTGGCGGCAAAAAATGAAAGAGCGAGGGACATACGAGGCCTACCGACAACGAACCAATGCACATCGGCGACAACAAGCAGCCGAGAAAAGACGTATGTTGGGCGAGGAAGCGTGGAAAGCCCTGCAGAGTCAGCGATATGAGAAACGGGTGGAAGCCATTCGGCGTCGAGAATGGTCCTGGTTGGACGAAGAATTGGAGCGTCCCTTTCCCCTCCCGTGGTTGCCGTTAGACTTGCCCCAGTCCGTGCCTAAAGAGGACAGTGTGCAAACCCTTCGCGCAGAGGACTTGCAGACAATGGACGATTATTTGTAAGAACAAAAAGTTTAATTAAATCATGTGTGTGATTCAACAAAGTTGTCTTTTTTAATGACTATAATTTTTACATGCCCAATCGGAGTTTGGCTTTCATAATGCGTCTCACAATGCGCTCTGTTAGGTTTTTACTGCCGGGGAGTTGATCAATCTTGGCAATCATCTTGCGATCCGCGGCCCATTTGTCTTTCAAATTCTTGGCTTTATCATAGTCGATGTCGTGGGCTTTAGCAATCCTGTCCAACCGGTTAATGCCGGGATCCCCACGGGCCAATCGTTTCTTTAAATGGGTGCCAGGTCCCATATACTGGTAACCGGGCCAATGAAATTCAATGCCGGTCTTGTTGAGGAGGTTCTGTACATCGAATAACTTGCCGCCACGTTGCGAGCGTCGTCGTCGCCTGGCTCGGGAACGGGATGGAGCAGCACGGCGTCTCCGAGTCCGTCCCATGCTAGGGGGTTTTCCACGTTTTCCAATCCAAGGCTTTCTTGGCCCAACCAGCGGCTTTCTTTTTGGCAACACCCGCGGCTTTTTTGCGAATCCCGCGCTTGATCGATTGCTTGATGGATTCCACTCGTTCACTGGGGGTATCCCAGGGTTCTTGACCGTACGTGTCTGAAAAGGGCAACTCTTGGGCCAATTCTTCACTGGTCAACGGGGTCGTGAACTTGAGTTTCTTTTTGGCACTGGGAGTGAACCTTGGTTTAGGCGGGATAGGTGGTTTTCTGGGTCCACGAGTCGGGGTACCTTGTTTTATACCCTGGGTGGCCTTGACCAATTGCGTGAACCAAGCTTGCATAGGGCCCGCTTCAAAATCATCATCGCCCGGTGTGGTGGCCCCAGCAGCACTCACACCCCCAGCGGCAGCTCCAAAGGGTTGGCGCACTTTTTTGGTCCAATGGCGTAATTGACGGCTGACGGCTTTGAGTTGAGGCCGTTTCCACGCATCGGGAGCATCACTGGTCAGGAGTACATGTTGTTTGGCCGCTAAATCCGCGGCTTTGGTCAAGCGAGTATCCTCCACCAATTCTTGTTTGTACTTATCGCGTAATTGTAAAAAGGCCGGGGCGTTGTCCACCGTGGTGCTCACCATCTCGGGTTCCATGGTGCAACTGAGGGATCTGGTCTAGCGCATGCAACGTTTATAACATCGGTAGAGTTCGGGCCAGAGGGCGCCCCCTTTTTGAGCCATCATGATGGCGCGTCGTCGTTTGACGGAATGGGCGGGTTTAGCCATAGCGCGTAAACTTTGGGCGTGGGGTTTGAGCAACGTGATAGTGTGTCGGGAACGGGGCACGGTGCCACGCAGCGTGTTCATCACCAATTCACTGACAGCATTGATCTGATCCGCATTGGCCATCCGCAACAATTCTTGTCGTTTGTGTTGATTGGCTTCTTGTAAGACACTTTTTAAGAACGGGGCTTGACGTTCCATGCGCCACCCCATGATGAATCTTGAGTTCAGGCAAGGACCAAGGTCTATTTATGGTAAAAATGGCGCCACATCGACCGCACAATTCGCCATGATAATGCGTTTGCATGTGAGTTCGACACCGTGCACACAAAGCCGCGTCATACTGCTCATCCCAATCCAACGCAAACGTGACGGCTTTTCGTTGAGGGCGTCGTCGTCGTCGGTTAGTCCGGGCGTCGAAGGCGGACTCTGGGTTTGAATTTCCGGAGATACAAAGGCGAGAGAGCCATTGCCAACAGCGGGAGTTTAGCGCCGCGTTGCAGGCCACGTCGTCGGCGTCGTTTGCGAGGGACATAACGATGTCGTCGACCGTTGGGTCCACGAACCATCGTCTGATTAACCCCTGTTCAGGCCCACGAAGGTCTTTTTATACGTTTTTTTCACATGAGGGAACAATTAAACGATTCCCCTCCATAGGATTTTCGTTTGCCTGACTGATAATCACGCCAGCGTTTATCGGATATTTTCTTGGCTCGCTTTTGTTGATGCTCCCCGATGGCTTTGGTGATCCCATAGCCGGCTTTGCCAATCCCCACAATGAGCGCTGGCGAGACACCCCCCACTTGACCACGCCGTCGTCGTTTGGCGGGTCGTTGTCGAGCCGTGGAGCGTTTGCGTTTGCGTCTCATGACGAATTTGAGAGCGGAACACTTTGAACTTCTTTTTATACATTTTCACATCAAACTGCACCCACCCACTTTTTTGGCATACCCCTTCTTGACCAACCACTTGTTGTACGAGTCCTTAGTACCACTGGCGCGATACTGGCGTTTATAGTTGGCCACCCGTTGTTTATCGGCCCGTACATCGGCTTTGGACGGAATCTTCCACATGGCCGGGTCTGTCAACAACTTGAAGCCTTCTTTGACAGGGATAACGTACGGCATAGTCCCACCCTTGATTCTCTGTCGACGTGATGATCGTCGAGTCGTGGTACGTTGGCGTTTCCGAGTCATCGCGTGTCCACAACGGCCACACATTTTGGGATGGTGGAGGAGAGAGACCCCTGTTTTTATAGCCTTTTTTTTCTGTTTTACGCAGACCTGTGTCTTCGTCCACGGGCTCGGCCACGGCCCCGTCCTCGGCGTGGGGGTCGTGGGCCGGACGTGCGGGTGGATGTGCGACGTACCGACGGACGTCCACCCTCTTCGTAGACCGTGGTGACGGTATTGGTATGCGTGATGTTGCGGATGCGTCGGCCTCGAGCTCGTTCTTGAGCATCTTCATTCAACAAATCCAACCGTCGCCTTAAGCCTCGCCCTCGATCATCATCATCATCATCTTCATCCTCATCCTCAGACGGAGGGGACGAATCGGGGGACGGTGGGGAGGGCACCCTGGGGCGCCGTCGCGGTTGTTTGGCAGCCACGGTGGGGCGTCCCGTGGGGGTCGTTGTCGTGGAAGTGGTGGTCCTGGTGCCTGCCCCAATGCTGCGACGAGAAGTGGAGGGGCGGGAGGGAGCCGTAGTGGTCGTGGCGGTGGTGGCAGGGCGTGTTCGGGTAGAGGTGACGGGCCGTGGTCGACTGGCGGTGGTGGTCGTGGTGGGGCGTGTTCGGGTGGACGTGGTGGGACGGGTTGGGGCAGCCGTGGTAGTGGGTGGTGCCGTGGTGGTGGCGGGGGCCGTGCCAGTGCCTGCCACGGGCGGGAGCGTGAACGCATTCAAGGCATCGTCCACATTGACTGGATAAGTCAAATTAAAATCTTCAATCTCTTGATCCAATTGGGCACGATCCACGGGTCGAGACAATTCGGTCACCATGTCCGTCATACTGCTGAGATCCCGGAGGACCGAGGGGGAGCCCACGCCGGCGGGCGAGTGTGTGTCCATGCGGGCGGCTAACTCAGTATGTTGTCCGCCTTCTCTTTGCCGCCGTTGACGTTCGCGTTCTCGTAGCAGGGCGTTTTCGAACGGCAGGGACATCCGCCCGCAACGTATGGACTTGGGCTTTACCTTCTCGGGGCGTTAAATGACTCCACAAACGGTAGCGATCATCCGACGCAGGATGCACATCCAACATCAAATAGCCAAAGGGACGGGCCGTGATGCGTTTAAATAGGCGCAAGACTTGACGCCACTGATCCGGAAAAGCTTGCAATAAAACGGTCCGTATCCCTGTTTGATCCCGGGGGTTTTTGAAGGCCACAATGTAATGCGCGTTGCGATTAATGGTCTTGGAAAATTTACCAGGCGGGAATAAATCTTGTGTCAAATACAACACCGTGATGTTGCGATGATGCGAATCTTTGGTGAACAAATCCAACACGCGCTTGTCTTGTCCCCCTTCTTCCATCAGATCGTCCAAGACCAGTACCCCGCCGCGCGTCCGACCAAACCATTGCGTCAAATGACGGGGGTCCGGTAACCCGCGATAAAATTGAATCCCATCCTTTTTTTGCATACGCTCGAACCGGGGTTGCCAACGATCATAGGCATACACAATCTTGCGGGGTTTGACTTGAAAGACGTTGAGGTACCGTAACCATTGTTCCACCAAGTCAGTCTTGCCACTGCCCGAGGGGCCTGCGATGATCACACTACTGGGTTGTCGGATCATGATTCCCACGGTCGAGGGTGACGTCGATAATGACCGGTGGCCCCTTTAGCACCCATGCGTTTATACCGTTTGTCGCGTCCCAATTTATCGCCAATTTTATAGGCTTTTTGTAACACGCTCATGAGCCCGCGTCCGTTTTGGCGAAAGCGGGGTCGTCGGGTGCGCTGCCGTCGTCGTCGTCGTCGTTGTCTGGGCATACTGTCCAATAGTCGCGGTAGAGTCGTGGCGATTCGGACTGAATCAATCGTTCCATGGTCTCTCTTAAATACGTTTCGCTCATGCTGTCCATGTACTGTTTGAGGGACACCCAATCTTGGTCTTGTGCCAATTGTCGAGCCATTAACCAATGATACCCATCCCACGCGTCAATGCCTTGCACCGTATTGACCCGTTCGATGGGGTGTTCCCACCAATACAAAGTTTCTTCGAGAATGAACGCATCCACTACGCGCTGCACATCAGCTCGCGTAATCATGATGAACTACAATGACCACTCTTTTCACGACTCATCTCGTTTTATGGGTTTTTTATTTTTCAACACTCACAATGATGACAAGTGATAAAGGCCTGGCGGCTTACATTCTTTTGCCCCCCTTCAGGTCGGGCATCGACTTCATCTTGTAATTCCTGTTTAATCACCCGTTTCAACTGGTCGGCCACTTTATGATCATTCAACACTAAATTGTCGCAACTCCATTGACTCAAAAATTCTTGATAGGACCGTCCTTGCGCACGAGCTTTCAAAAAAAATAACGCATAATGGCCACAGGTTTGACTATCCAGGGCTTGCAGGGTCTGGTCACTGCGCGTTAGGTACTTCCATTGACTCCACCATTGGTGCAACTCCGGGTTGGTGTACACGTACAGGGGTAGCCCATAACTGTCAAAGATCTCGCATTGGTTCTTTTCTGTCCATAGCCCCAACCAATGCTGGCCCGGTTCTCCCGCTGGATCGGTGTTGACAATGTACGCTTGACGGATCTCCTTGGCAGGGGAACGGGGAAGCTGGTCGGCGGGATGCACCCCATGAAACACGCGTCGTAAAGTGGGATCTTCTAGGGCTAGGGTCCGCAACACAGTATCACTGAGCGCCACAAACTCCATGACCGGTGTCTTCTGACGTCTGAAGCCACTTCAGCCGTTGATGTTGTACTTTATACCTCCCAGATGATTGATCTCGTACATGTTTTCATACTCGCTCCATACCAAGATGGTGACGTTGTGTCCCACAGCGGCAGAAAAATCAATGATCAATCGCGTATTACCCGATTGGCGGGGGTTGCGATACTGAGGGTCATCGGCTTTTTGACTGGGCACATTGTTGAACATGAACAAGGTGCAGTTGTTGCCTTGTCCCCAATCACTAGGCAGCAGCATGGGAATCTTGTCTTCATTGTAAGCCCCCATGGCTTGTAGAAATCGATCGTAGCCCAGCAAATCTTCATAGGCTTGGTCTCCTGTCAATTGCAGGGTTCTGTAAGGGTATTCTTCTCCATTCAAGTTCTGTCGTACTTGGGTGACGCCAAACTTTTCAAAGGCAAAAGGGTATCTTTCTAGGTCTCCATTGAAGGCATCTGAATGCAATAACCCGACAATCACTCGGTCAGGAAATCGTCCCACAAACACATTGTCTTGTTCCCATTGGGTGGTGCGTCCATCAAAGGAAAACGTGCGAATTTCGCTCCGCACGACAGGGTAGCGGGCAATCTGTTTGCCCAGCTGTCTTTCTTTCTGCAGTCTGACATAGACGCTGGCATTCAGGGTCACTTTTCTCAGCAATAAGGTGACTTTGATGTCATCGTTGTGGATGGCTGGAAATTTCTTGGCGTTCAAGGTGCCTTTGTTGGGGGTACCTATCAGGTAGACGGTCTTGGGGTTGAGGAAGAGTTCAAAGTCCATCTGGATATTGGGGACCAATAATTTGCCGGTCTTGAGAGTTGGCAAATGGGGACGCACAATGAAGGTGTGCCAATTTTCACCCAGCAACTTGCTAGTCAAGGCACGCAACTCTGTATTCCCACTCCAATCAGCACCCGTGGGCACATCCGAATTGGCTCCTGTGGCTCCCATTTCTGCAATCACATTCAACTGATTGACCCATCCTTGGGGGGCTAACTTGGTGGCTCCTTCTTCTCGGTTGTAATTCAGCAGGGTTTCTATGTAGGCTCTGTAATGGTAGGTGTTGCTCTGTTCAGTCACGAGGACGCCATTCATGCTCATGGTGATATCTCGAAAAATGGTGTGACCGAAATTGTTGACGCAGTAGGTGTTTCTGGTATTGTTGGCATCGGAGTTGGCCAGATTGGCCACCAATCCATTGTACCCAGCGGCTGGATCGGTCAGGCGCACTTTGACTTTGAAGCGGAGAGAATTGAGATCGTAATAATCGTCGGAGCCTGGAATGGAGAAGGTGATGGGTTGGATGCCCGTCAAGGCGGGTTGAAACTCCACCTCCCGCGAGGCTTCGTACCGATAATCCACATCGGGCACGTCAAAGAGACTGAGCGACATGGCTGCGGTCTGTTCACGAGGTTCAACGACGTCCTCTTTTTATACCTTTTCGTAGTCTGTACCAATCATGGATGGGATGCGCGGCGGGAAAGGGGCGGTGCGGAAAATCGATTTGGATGCGTTTTTTCAACCGACTGAAGAGATTGCCCCCTTTCTGCTTTCTGGCTTTGGCTTGATTGGCCCACAACACTTTTCGGAGATCCCCTTTGCCCAACCACGTGCCCCCTTTCATGCGTTGCTTCAGCCAACGTTCCATCCTGGCTTTTTCTTGGTCGGCCATGAGGACTTTCATGGGATCCTGACTCCTGCGCATACGAGTGGATGTGCCAAAAATCGTGCCCCCTTTCATACGTTGCTTCAGCCAACGTTCCATCCTGGCTTTTTCTTGGTCGGCCATGAGGACTTTCATGGGATCTTGACTCCTGCGCATACGAGTGGATGTGCCAAAAATCGTACCCCCTTTCATGCGACGCAGGGCTTGCTTCACCATCCAGGGTTCGGGGTTGATCCGACGCGTCGTATGCATCCAGGGATAGCGCGCCGTGGTCGACTTGCCAAAAATCGTGCCCCCTACTTGATACGGCGAAATGAACCGTCCACGGGCCCGTTGCCGTCGAATACGATTTTGCGATTTGAGAAAACCTCCTACACGTACCATTTTTTACAGTCCAAAGATATCCCGTACACGTTGCGTGGCTCTTTTATAGGTATTTTGGGCGGTCCGTTTGACCTTGTGTTTACCCGCCGTCCAAGCCATGGCGGGGGCTTTACGTTTCAAGCCTCGGCGGAGTTGGGCACTTCGATCCGCCCAGGTGGCCGCGGCACTCTTGCCACGTTGAATATCTTGCAATCCCGCTTGCGCTTGTTGCACGATCAGGGGGCCTGCCAGTTTGATCAAGTCTTCGGCCAAGCCTTTGCCCTCTTGCTTGGTGAGCACGGGCGTGTGGTACCGCGTTAAACTGCCTCCGCGCATGGTTCACGTCGTGGTGCTTTTTGGACCCTCGAAAGACGGGGGGTGGCTTTTTATAGCTGTTTGAGACCAATGGTCACCAAGGTTTTGCCGGGGGGTAAAACGGCCAGGGGTCCACTGGTACTGGCAATCTCCACTTCCACGATATCTAGTTGATTTCCTCGTAGTTTGATCCATTGATGGTGCAGGGGTTCGGCCGTACTTTCTCCTTCCCCTGTTCTCAACAATTGCACTTCCCGCAACAGGGGATACTTGCCACTGCCCACCACGGTGGATTCCACCAGATCCGAATAGACCATGACCGTGCGTTTGCTGGTTCCCACAATCTTTTCAAACGAGGCATCCAAATTGTTGAACCGCCATTCCACCATCCTGGACAAATGAAGCCGTTTTCCGTTCACTTCAAACACTTGATCCATGATGTCACTGGTCAAATCCGTGGGTTGCGTCCCCACATAATGCTCTCCATTCCAGTTGTAATCCGAGCGAAAGGACGGACCGGTGGGTAGGGTCTGGTCCGTATAGGTCACGGTAGGGCAAGTGAATTGGATATTGGGACCTAGCACATAACCCGCATCCACCCCTGCGGGTTTTTCAATGAAGCCAAACCTTGTCGCTATCCCCATATCCATCGTGAAGGTGGTGGTCGCGGTGGTCTTGTCGCTTTTCAATAGGTCTCCTTTAGGGACAGCATGCAACACCAAGGCATTGTCTTTCCAGCTCATCATAGGCATCCAGTTCTTTTTCACACTCACTACGGGTTTTTCATCCCCATTAAAGGTCAAGGCCGCTTCTTGTCGGTTAATCAAGGCCTGCATGACCTTGTTGTGTACTTCTTGCATCACGCGTTTCCAAAACTCACTGCCTGTGGTCACAGACTGTTTGGCACTCATGATATCTTCCAATTCCACCCCATAATCCTTCGACTTGAATTGGACCCGTCGATAGGAGCCCGACATGTACAAACGCGTCAAGTAGGTGATACTGAATTTGACGACTTTGGTGTGAGGATCCGTGGCAATGACCGCATTGCTCTGGCCTTGATCCGGGACGGTCAGGGACATGAGCGAGGCATGCCAACCAGTGCCCGGTAAGACCATGCGTTCGGGCAGACGGACCTTGAAACTGTTGTTGGCATTGTTGGGAAACTCATCGGTCGGATCGCTGATGAGCGTCAAGCGTTTAATCTCACTCATGATGATGATGATGATGAAGAGACACATTCCATGGGGTGCAGGGTCCTTTTTATAGCCACGTCGCCACTTTCTGTTTACTGCGAGGGACATGTCCTACCACTGAATTGAAGGTCGATTGTTTGGGATGAAAACATACTTGCTGGGCAATGTTGGGAAAGGCCCGGGCCAGTTCCATCAGGGTCATACAGGTCTTGGGTTTAGGGGGTTTCTTCTTGCGCATGGGTGGATGACGTCCAGCCCGTCGGCGTTGTTGTGGTTTTTTCTTGGGTGGGGACCGTAGAGCCCCTCGTTTCTTGGCATACTCTTCGGCTCGATGGTAAGCATTGGCGTAGGCCCATTGCTGCTTGGTAGGACTGGCCAACTTTTCCCACCACGGCTGGGTTTGCCGTTGTTCGGCGGCTTTCTTCTGGATGAATTTCAGGACGTCGGCGTCCGTGGTGGGAGAGGGCGTGTAACTAGCCCGCGGTCGACTGGAATCTGCCAGGACTTCATCGAGAAACCGGACCCGCTTTTTTCTTTTTCGAGGCGTTATTTTGACGCGGACCATGTTGCGCGGGAATCCAACTATCGTACTTGGCCGGCCACCCTTTCCACCGGACCAAGATTTGACGTCCTTTCCGTTTCAAGACTTTTTCGACTCGAAATAACGAATCGTCCGATACTTGGACTTTTTGGACATCGGGTTCATAAAACGTGCCTTTTATAGGGGTGCCGTCCCATTCACTGAGTTGATAGGTGACCACGGGATGACGACGCACGTGGGTGACCACAAATACTTCCTCGGTCCAGCCCGGCAAATACCCTTTTTTGAAAGGACGATGTTTCTTGTTAAGACGTACCCGATCGCCCATGCGACATTTGGGTGGGGGGATCTTGGGCTTCAACCGGGCTCCATAGAGTCGATCCCAGACTTCGGACTCGTTTCGAAAGGTGACTTGATGCGGCGCTAACCCAATACTGCGATGATAGGCGTGATTGTAGGTATGAATCAAGGGTTGTAACACGTCCACGTACCGTAACGTATTGTGCGCGGTGAAATACCGGTACATGCGTTGTTTCAAGGTACGATGCCATCGTTCCACCACCGAAGCCTTGCTATCCCCATACGTGTAAAAATGATGCCAATCGTGTTTCTTGAACCAGGCTTGGACTTTTCGATTTAAAAATTCTTGGCCTTGATCCGTTTGTACCCGGAGGGGACGTCGTGGGGAGGCCCGTCGGCGTAGGGTTTCCAACCCTTTGATCATGTTGGCGGCACTCTTGGATTTGATGGGAACGGCCCAGGCATACTTGGACAAGACGTCGATGACCGTTAACAAATATTTGTTCCCTTGGTTCCATCGACTGAGTTTTTGCATGTCCACTAAATCCATCTGCCATTGTTCGTCTCGGCCAAAGACCAACGTGGGGGTGGTGGGAAACCGGGTCCGTCGGGGTTTGTGGAGCGTATAGCTCAACACGGATTGAAGAATCCGTTGCGCTTGCGGGGATTTCAATTGATGGGCTCGGGCAAAGGGACGGACCCCACCCAAGGCCCCCGGTTCTCGGGGATCTTCGTAAGCGCGTGGCAACGACATCAAGACACTGACACATTTTCTGAGCCAATTTCTGTCTTTAATAGTTTTTTTTTCACACACCTTACATTTTCAAAACAAACACGAGCTTCCAAAGTTCTTATGCAAATGGCGCCTTCTCTCAAATTCTCGCTCCTGGGCTTGGACCGACTCGCCAAACTGATTCATCCACGGACTACGCCTTATCTTTTCTAGTTCTGGGATTGGCCTCTCCCTATGGTACCTCTCTACAGTGTGCATTCCCCAGGGTCTCTCCTTCTCTGGACCTTTCAAAAGAGGGAGGGACTCCTTGACCCATCGTCTCAGGGTCGGTTGCGCTTGCTCTCGGGGACACCACAAGGGACCATGGAG